GGGCTTTAAGGTTCTAGGGTTTAGGGTTCAGGGTTTTGGGTGTATGGTTTTAGGGTTTAGGGTTATATTCAGCAATACGGGGCGTCCCGTTTTGGGGCTTTACGGTTTAGGGTTTAGAGTTTTAGGGTTTTGGATTTTGGGTTCAGGGTTTTAGGTTTTAGGGCTTTAAGGTTTTAGGGTTTTAGGGTTTAGGGTTTAGGGTTTTAGGGTTTAGGGTTTAGGTTTTTTAGGGTTTTGGGTTGAGGTTTTGGGGGTTGCTTAGAAGGTTCGAGAAGGGTTTCTTTCTATAAACGTATTCTAAGGGTTCTATACGGGTCCTTTTGTAGGAACCCAGGGGAGGCGGCACCATCATAAAAAGGATCCTAAATTAGGGGGCCCTAATTTAGAGAACTAGCCATTTGGGGTTCTGGATTCTAGTATTCTGGCGCCCTAATTTTGTAGAAAAAACAGAGAACTACCCACATAGAGGCTTTTTTAGAGGCTTTTTTTATTAATTTCAACGACCATTTCCTATAGGGTTCCGTATTAGGAGCATACTGCAGTGTATCTTAAACCCCTCTTCTAAGTCGTAAGGCCCCTTATACTGATTCAACCTATTTAGTCCAAGTATGGCTCGGAAAATGAGAACAGGTCTTGTGATGTTGTCGTAGTAGAACTCGATTTGGGGTTTCCGAAAATTTAGGGTACCTTATTTTGGGCTCCTTATAATAAGGATCCGATTATTTAGGGTACTATATTAGGGTCCCCTATTTTGGGAACCCCCATTTGGGCGGCAGATGAAGCCGGCGCGTGTGATGCTGCCCCCGGTCCCAATGTATTACAGCCACAACAGCTAGCTTTTGCTCCGCCTTAGAACGAAGATAACGTACATGTCACAAGTTTACAAAATTACTCGTCCCAGCATTTGACACTGCTATGGATAATTTTATGGCAGCTCAGTGCCTTTCAGAATGTTACTGTTAGATTTATGGTAACTGTTGTCTTGCTCTTTTGATTGTGAGACTTATATAGTAGCTGAGTAGGCAAGCTTTGGCTTTTGGGGGTTTACATATTCCTACCATACTCCAAAAGCTTAACCCTTTCTGGGCTAGGGTGCTCAGCCCCTAAGTAGAAGTACTGGTAATACCAGCGCCAATAGGGTCGATCAGCCCTGACGACCTCAAACGTACAGACACTGAAGCCCGAAACACTGAATTCTTCGGATTTCACGCGGCCTCTACTGTAGACCCTAGACCCTAAACCCTGAACCCTGAACCCTGAACCCTAAAACCCAACACCCTAAACCCTAAACCCTAAACCCTGAACCTTAAACCCAAAACCCTAAACCCTAAACCCCAATGCTACGGCTGGAGAGTTGGGGATCCCGGCTCTGGACTTGCGAAGTTCAAGTCTTTTGGGAGCCCGTAGGGGGTGCACAGGACTAATTCGGGTTTTGGGAGGTTTAGGGTTTAGGGTTTTGGGAGGTTTAGGGTTTTGGGAGGTTTAGGGTTTGGGGTTTAGGGTTTTGGGAGGTTTAGGGTTTAGGGTTTCGTACAAACAAACATTACATATGAAGGAACCTGTCAAAAGGGCATGAAGTATCCAGGGCTTGCGATTCGAAATCTTCAGACCTAACCCTAACTTAACCTCTTAGAACCCTTAACTGCAAAAGCGTCAAGGATTCCCCAAACCCTAAACCCCAAACGCCAAAGCCCTAAACAACCTTTAGGTCCTCTGCAGGAACAACCCTGAACCCTAAACCCCAAACCGGAACCCTTTACGGATGACGTTTTACGCCGGAAACCCTAGACCCTAAACCCTAAACCTTTTACGCCGGAGCCCCAAAATCAAAAAAAAAACAAAAATAAAAAGCCTCCGAAGGTGCTCCCGATCGCCTGCGGGCCTCCCGGTTCCCTCGAAGCCGAGTCTGGGTCAAGCTTAAGTTTTTGAAGTTTAGGGTTAGGGGTTTAGGGGTTTAGGGGTTTAGGGTTTTAGGGTTTAGGGTTTTGGGGTTTTGGGGGTTTAGGGGTTTAGGGGTTTAGGGTTTTAGGGTTTCAGGGTCTGGGGTTTCAGGGCTTTAGGGGTTTAGAGGTTTAGGGGTTTAGGGTTTTAGGGTTTAGGGTTTAGGATTCAGGGTTTCCTTCGGTTCGGGTCAAGGGTTCCGTCTCGGGTGGTTCTAGTAGGGGTTTTAAGCTTCGGGGTTGCTTCGTCAGTGTGGTTTGGGTTTGGGATTTTTCGGGCTTAGCATAAGGATTGTTGGTTTGTTCAGATTTTACGACGCAGCCCAGGTTGTAGGGAATAGAGTTTAGGTTTTAGGAATTAGAGTTTAGGTTATAGCATCCTTTTTCTTTTCCTTCCGATGAGCAACCCAGGAGTGGCTTCAACTCCAATTTGCGGCACGGAGGGTGAAGAAGGAGCGGCCCGCCTATGACATAGAGAAGGTTGAACACATGGGCCCCTAACATGGGCCCTTNNAGGGTATATATATATATATATAGAGGGTATATAGTAGGTATATTAGGGTCCCAGGGATAAGGGCCCATACTAGGGGCCCATGGGTTCTACCTTAGATACTGCTGGGGCTCGTGGAACTTATTTCAGTTTCTTCAGGGTTCGGACCTCTCCATAGGGCTTTCCCTACACCCTCAAACGACTGAGGGCTTGTTTTGGATTAACTCTGCTTTCGGGTTTCGCCCCGGGTCCTTGAACCGACCTGGTGCCACCTAAACCCTAAACCCTAAACCCTAAACCCTAAACCCTAAACCCTAAACCCTAAACCCCTAAACCCCTAAACCCTAAACCGCTATATGGGAACATGGACTCTGAGCGGGCATAGGGCGACCGCTCAGATTGAGTTCTGCTTGAAGACGAGGGTGTCGAGTTCAGGTGTTTACTCCCTGTGCGTTGTTCTTGGCGTTCTTTTGGTTGGCTTTTAGGACTTTAACTCTTGGGTTTCTATATGAAGCATAATAAGGGAGCTAGAAGTTTAACTTTTAGGAGGGGTTCTTGAGGGTTCCAATACCAGAATTTTACCCAACACCCTCTTCGGAACCCTTAAACCCTAAACTCTAAACGCTAAACCCTAAACCCTAAACTCTCTTTGAACCCTTAAGCCCTGGAACCCGTAAGCCCTGAACCCTTTGGGAACCCTTAAGCCCGAAACCCTGTAATGAGTTCACATTGACAGTATTGCTGCAGACCTTGCCAGGCTTTGTCCCAGTGTGAGTGTCAGAAAGCCCTGATTGAAACTTTGAACCCGTAAACCCTAAACCCTCTTGGAGGATTTCGGGTTTAGGGTTTAGGGTGAACCCTTAAACACTAAACCCTCTTGGAACTGGAGAAGTTCCCTGCTGGATTAGAGCTTGGTCTGGGGGGTCGAGGGCTTGAGGCTTTCAAAGGGGTAACACGAGGCGCAGAAGCCTCGAATTCAGGTAGTGCTGGACGGTTTAGGGCTTAGGGTATGTATTATGTTAGTTTGTATCATATTCTACTTTATTTAGTATAAGATATCTCATACTTTGTTACATTGCTAAAGTATACTAGTTAGGGTAATGCCCACGGCCCGCGCAGAAATGAAACGATGGATCGGAACCATTTAGTCAGAGCTTCCCCTTATAGCCCTTATAATAACCACCCCTAAACCCTAAACCCTAAACCCTAAACCCTAAACACCCAAAGCCCTGTTTGAACTGTGGAGGCCCTCTACTCTGTTCCCGTTGCAAACTCAGACAGACTTTTTGCCTCGAGACGCACGGAATCAGAGTGCTTTCGCCGAGGTACTGGTGCCTTTGTCAAGGAGCCTCCCTTGGCTGTTGTGGTGCAACCGGCGACACTTGACGGCCTTAACCCCAACCCCCGCCTCTAGCTGTGAGCCTTGGTTTGGCTTGGATATATGCTAATGTGAGTAACACTACCCCTCAGGGTTTAGGGTTTAGGGTTTATACTGCCCCTCAGGGTCTGAATTTAATCATACAGTGTAGTTCCGCCCTAAACTGAGACCTTGGCGCAATAATATCAGAGATTCCATCTTAGGCGCCGACGAAACCACCTGCAACAACGGCTCGGGCCTGGTCAGCGGCGATATGACAAGAATTTAAGGGCCTGAACAATTCCCAGTATTATTCCTTATCATCTACCCTACTAAGAGTCTAGTACATGTAGTAGAATTTGCACCAAAACCTTGTCCTAATGATGAATCAAAAGCTATTACGGACTCTGCACTATTACAGTGTTCAATAGTTCCGCTGGCAACTCCTGGTCGTCGTTGCAGCCACGGCATGGTTCTGAGAAACATAACTCTTGCGAAGGCTCGGTAGACCTAAATGCAGCCCTTCTTCAGCCGTATGCAAGCACGAGTTCTGCACATGCGGGTGGAGTTTCAGGGTCTAGGGTTTAGGATTGTTCAATGGTTCCCGCCACTAGATAGTCCCATTACCCATAACTCCCTGCTCAGGAAAGGCACAACTGAAGCTATGAGAGTTTCCGAGGAAGTTTCCCGTGGCTTCAGAAAACACCCTAAACCTTAAACCCCTAAACCCTAAACCCCTAAACCCTAAACCCAACACTGATCACTAAAAGCCACCCGGATCCCCAAAACCCAAAGGCGCCCAGAAGCGAACCCCTGCTTCAAAACATAAATTTATTGGACCTGCGAGACCCTCGGTTTTCACTTCTTGCGAACCTTACTAAGTCCTAGCCCTAAAACGGTTTAGGGTGTAAGGTTTAGGGCAAACCCTACCCTAAATTTAAATCCCTAAACTCTACCCTAGACCCTAACCCTAAACTCAACTCTACCCCAAACCCGCAACGATTTAACCTTCTAAACTGCAAACTCGAAACTTCTTTTACGGCAACCCATCATGTGTAGAACCCTTGTAGTAACGCTTATAGACCCTCATGCCAAGGAGGTGCGCCACCCGCTGCTCACGAGGGAGGTCGAAGAGAGCGTTTTCCGCACCGAGGTAACCTCCGCAGGGTGTAGGGGCCACTTTGAGGGGTCCGTTTAGGGTTTAGGGATTAGTCACTGCTGCGGGCTGTCAGTCCGGTCGAGATCTGACAAGGCCGTTGCAAAAAGGGATTAAGCCTGAATAATGACCAACATTATTCCTTACGGTTCCTTGTTCTAACTACCATACTGTCCACTAGAAGGTTTGAGGGCTTAGGGTTTTGGGATTTGGGGGTTTGGGGCTTTTAGGGTTTAGTTAGGGTTGATGTTTTACGGTTTAGGGTTGAGGTTAGACCTGAGCATTTTACAATTACACCCGCCCTGCCCCCAACATCTCAGCTCTCAACACCAGCTCTCTGCAAGCTTTTGTCACTCCCGACTCCAACACCTTTATTCCCGCACAATCCCAAAATCAGAGATAATGTAGGGGCCTACATAGTTACCTATACTATTTTTGGGGGTTCCTTACATACTGATTATACCGTACAATGGGCTCCAAAACCTTATTCTAATTATTAAAGCCTCTACAGTATCCGTAAACCATGAACGGCACACCGCCAACAAAACACACACACACACCCTTTGAACCCGAAAGTCCTGATCCCTATCCTTGAAGTGCCATATACCGAGATGATAACCATCATGACATTCACATTGCTCCCGATTATTACCTTTCAGTTTGTTGCTACCCTCGCACGGAGGCGGGAGGAGAAAGCCCAACCCCTTAAAACACTTCCGGGCCACGCAAACCTTCCCCTTCCCATTGCTACCCACTGTTACCATGTTACCATGATTACCATTTATTCGCAGTACCCTCTCATTTTACCAGTCGTACCAGCGCTAGCCGTAAACCCTACATAAACCCTAGACCCTGAAACCCTATCCCTTCTGTTGGTACTGAAACCCTAACCCTTGTAGACTCGTTGGAAAAGTCAACGTCTGTCAGGTCTCCACTCTTGGGCGTCCTGCGCACACTGCCTACGATGCTCGTCGAGCTTTGTGCTCTCTGCTTGGGGCCTTAATGGGATTAGGGGCCTGATTTAGAGTTTAAGCAAATACGGTTTGGAGATCTATGGGTGTGGAGGGTTTAGATCTTGAGGCTTAGGCCATGCATTGACCTAGCGCTCCGGGCTTAAATGGCTTGGGGCTCGCAAGGCTTATTAATAAACCCTAAACCCTAAACCCTAAACCCTAAACCGTAACTTATTAAAGTTCAGTGGTTTAGAGCTACTTGAGCTAACACGAGGCCCAGGACCTGCCCTGTGTGCCTTGAAAACCGACATGCTCTTGCTCCCCTCTGTACATCCTACAGTGCTGCAATGAGTAGATCAGGGTCTGACCCTAAAGCCCCCAAAGCCTTAAACCCTTAACCCTACGCCGTGGCTCTAAACTAACCCTTCCGTTCCCTATAGGCGCTTGTCGGTTGAAGCAGGGTCCTCGCTAGGCTGGTCTCAGTTGCAAGTCCTGGAACCCAAACCCTAAAACCAGTAGAGCCTAAGTAGCGCCGACACCCGCAACCCTAACTCTGAAACGCTACGCCTTACAGTTTAGGGTTTGGGGTTTAGGGTTTACGGTCTAGGGTTTGGGTCTAAGCTCCTTGGCAAGACAACTACTTTTAGACACGGCACAGAGCCTGGCGAAGTGCTCGACAGGGCCTCGAAAAGACCCAAAAAAGACATGGCCGCAAAAGGCCTACCTATAGTCTCCATTGTAGTTCCTTTTTTTGGGTTAAACCAATTTCATATTTAGGATCCTATAAGGGGACCCCCAAAAGGAACTACAATGGAGACTATAGGCTTATAGGTACACTCTAAGTCAAGCAGAGCCTAAAAAGGTCCAAAGTGAGGCCCGACAGTAAGTTACTTGGGTTCAGGATAGTAGCAATGTACATGTAGGGCACTGGGATCCTTATGGAAACTTTGACCAGGCGATTGTAGAGACGCTTAAGGTTTAGGGTTTAGGGTTTAGGGTTTAGGGTGGAAGAAAGAGGCCTGAAGCTCTCAGCAGCTCTCAGCACCAATCCTCGCAACCTGAATCCCCAAAGCCCTAAGCCCTGAGCTCGAACTCAGGAGGTTCTCCGCAGACATGAGTCGCCTGATGTGACCGGAGAGGAGATTATTCTCCTGAAGGCTGGGCAGAGGAGCAGATGCTTTTGGCCGTTGAGGTTGTAAAGGGTTTATTAACCCTAAACCCTAAATCCTAAACCCTAAATCCTAAACCCGAAACCCTAAACCCTAAATCCTTTATACAGGGGTTCCATAAGACTTCCACTGAAGAAGGCTTCTTCAAGAGGTCGAAAGCTACAGGGTTTTTATGGTCTCAGATTTATGAGTCCTAAACCCTAAGCCCTAAACCCCTTAAACCCTTTTGAAACCGGACTTGATGACTGCCAGCATTTGCCTCTTCTGCCGTTCTTCAGCGTCTAAACCCTGAACCCTAAAGCCTGAGTCTACCCATAGGCCCTAAAGTAGTTCCTTTCTGGGGCTCATATATAGCATCCTATAAGGTAACCCCCCAAAAAGGGAACTACTATGGGGCCTATGGGTAGACTTTTTGAGGTGAAGGGCTTTCAACTTTCGGGGTCGAGGCTTGCCAGCTCAAGTGGGCGCGGACCTTGCAAGACTCCGCACCTTTCCTGCTGTCTCCGGAAGCCTCAACTCAGTTCTCCAGTACCATACCTTTAATTTTTTGGGGGTTCTTATAGTTTGGTAGTAATCTGCAAATTTCAACTTTATAATTTTTGTGGCTTATTGGGGAAGTAAGTCAAACCATGCTCGGTTTAAGGGTTTAGAGCTTAGGACCATACTCATGATGATGAAACTCCACCTGTTTCATCACCATTCTAGCCCCGAAGCCTGGAAAGCACGTCTCTGCATCGTGCTCTTATGAGCTAAAACGTTCCCGAATATTTTATTGACGTGAAAGACGTGCCGCACCCAAAGTCCAGAAGCCTACACCATCCTAAGACCGAATATTGGATATATAGTTGTGCCGCTTTACGACTTCGTTCTTTGTTGATATATGCGAGAGGGAGGCGCTGACCGTAATCCCGTGTTTAAAGTACCAGCCGTGCGGAGAACTTACGTGAACCCTTGCCTGCCTTGCACAAGCGTGAGAGTCGAAAACCCCCAGCGCCACCATTCAATTCCCACAGCCCTAAACCCTAATGTAGGGGCATGAAAAATTAGAACTGAGCTTGGGGTATGTCATACTATAAGTATAAGAAGGAGCCCCCAAAACCCTATCAAATATTATTAAGGCCCCTACATTAGGCCCTAAACCCTAAACCCCCCCTGGAACCAAGTCCGAAGGCCCGGCAGCCTGAAGCCAACAAGACCTGAGGTCTGGTGCTTACTGGGTTTAGGGTTTAGGGAGTAGCATTCAAAGATATTCAAAGATGAGTGCGTAGATGTGAAGGTGCAGCTGCTGACAGGCCGCACGCACCAGATTCGAAACTGAGCAGCGATTACGACAGATTCTAGGGTTCACAAATTGTGGCGCTTTGGCCTCGGGGTATTGGGGTTAGCCCAACCTACGTCAGTTGGGATATGAGTTTAGTTTAGGTATATTTCTTAGAGCTCTCTTCGGTGTAGAGCATGGGGCTTAGGCACGGAGACAGAACGCCCATAGCCGACATAAAGCAAAATGAAAGTCTCATCGTTGTTGGGCTCAAAGTCTATAGGGTGTGTTCGATTCTTTGGCTTCAAAGGCCTCAATATACAGATTCTTACGACGCCTAAACCCTAAACCCTAGCTAAGGGTTGCAGGTTGGGCTCTGGGTTTGTTGCTTGTGCTGTCTTCCGGGTTCAGCAGCCCCAAAGCCTGGGTTATCTTGACGCCTTAGGGTTTAGGGTATATGTAAGGTTTAGGGTTTAGGGTTGATGCCAGGTTTAGGGTTTAGTGTTGATGTAAGGTTTAGGGTTTAGGGTTGATGTCAGGTTTAGGGTGTAGGGTTGATGTAAGGTTTAGGGTTTATGGTTGATGTAAGGTTTAGAGTTTAGGGTTTTTGGTTATCTTGGAGCAGAAGCGGGTCGTTGTGACCCCTCGTCGGCACCCTTAAGCCCAGGAGCATCTAAAATCCAAATCCCTTATGAACCTCTAAACCCTTAAACCCTCTACTTCTGGGACATTTTCAGGTGGGTAGTTACCGTTATTGGAGCCGCATAGAAGGTCTATATACCTTATAGAAGCCTTATAGAAGCCCTATATGCCCTAAACTCCCCACCTGTAGTTTCCTTTAACCCTACTTGAATCTGAAATCCTGAACCTAAACCCTAAACCCTAAACCCTTAAGAACCTCTAAACCCTTGAATACACATTCTACTTGAATCTGAAATCCTGAACCCTGTCTATATAGTGATCATTTACTTATGACTGTATATGCATGTATAGATCGATGTGTGAGTGTGCCTGTGCACGCATCTAGCTATTTGTTATGTTTCTCTGCCCACTCAGCCAGATGTCGACATTCAAGTAAGCCCGTAGACCAATGAATAAGCACAGCGTGTGCATCTGTGTCCCAAGCAACCAAGCAAGCAATCAATCAAGCAAGCAAGCAACCAGTTAAACGCATCTATGTATCTCTGTGTGAGTGTGTGTGTGTGTGTGTGTTTTTATATGCAGATACACATACATGTGTTCATAGACTCACGTTTACGTGAAGTATGCAGGCTAGTCCCAAGTCAAACGACATGCCATTTGAGGCGTCCACCTGGCCAGCATCGGGAGGCCTCTGATGCCCGACTGAAGTCAAGATTCCGGTTTAGGGTTTAGGGTTTAGGGTTTGAGTCAAGATCATGACTCTTGATGTGGGGTTCGTCCTTGTCCCTAAACCCTAAGCCTCTTACCGTGAAGCCCTATGTTTCGAGTGCGGGCGTTCTCAGCGTAAGGATCCTGCCCTATAACGGCCGGGGGTTTGCGATTCTGACTCTTGCCTTTGAGCGGTGGGTTCTCCGAGCTTGCTTCATGCGTCAGGGTGAAGGGTTTAGTTTTGCGGCATAAGGTCGAGAGAACGGATGGTCTCCCGAGTACCCTAAACCCTAAACCCCAGGCTGGATGTTTTCTCAGCGATCCAAATCTGCGCTGGTCCGCCAGCTTTGTGCATTTATGCAGCGCTGTTACATGCAAATGCCGTGTCTCGCTGAACGTAGTCCTACGTAGCACAAGTCATACAGCAAGAGTTTGTTTCAAGAGGCACGATACACATAAAGTCGTGTAGTTTGTTCGCCTTGGGCCTTGTCGAAGCGCAAACTACCCTAAAACCGAAACTAGCCACATAAAACGACTATAGCAAGACACCTTAACCCTAAACTCCTAAACCGCCAAACCCTTAACACGAGTAGCCTTCAAATCCCAGACAACACAGCTTAGGGTAGACCCAACACCCCTAGAATTCTCTACCTATAGTCTCCATTGTAGTTCCTTTTTTTGGTTAAACCAACTTTATATTTAGGATCCTATAAGGGAACCCCCAAAAGGTACTACAATGGAGACTATAGGTAATCCCTAAACCCTACGCCCTACCCCTTAAATCCTAAACCCTAAACTCTATCCTGACTCTCCAAGCGAGAGCCATCGGCCCAGGATCGGTGACGTGCTCTACGGCATCGAGGCTTTAGCTTAATTCTGCTATGTTTATCTTATGATCAGCATCATGTCTACTATTATGGTCATTCTTACCACGGATAGTGTTGTCGTCAGTTTTATGTTATCAAGACTGATTGTTGCTATCAGCCCTAAACCCTAAACCCCTAAACGAAAGATTCGGTTTAGGGTTTGGGTTTAGGCCATTTTTTCAAGTTTCTTATGAGACGAGACATAACCTTGGGCACTTGGCGATGCCAGGCTCGAAACTTAACTTCACTCCCCGCAAACCTACAGTACCGCTCTCGGGCCGCGGGTGTCTCACAAATTATAGCTTCATTGTCCCTAAACCCTAAACCCTCAACCCTAAACCCCTAATACTAAACCCTAAACCCTAAACCCTAAACCCTAAACCCTAAACCCTTAGCTTCATTGTATGAGGGGCCTGGGAGTTTCAGGTCAACCCTAACGCACAAGCTTTTCCTTTGCACCCTGATTAAGCCCTCAAACCTCAACCCTGACCCCGAAACCCTCAACTCTGAAACCCAAAACTCTGAAACCCTAAACCCGAAACCCTAAACCCTGAAACCCTAAACCCCGAACCCCGAAACCCTACAATGATCCCCAGAACCCCCCATGCAGGTCCCTTGGTGCTCGCGTTTGTTCCTCCATTGCCGGTTTTTGCGCTTTCGCGGCATGGCGGCAACTGGCGCCTTGATGGTTCGGAAAGGCTTTCGGCGCAGATCATCGTAGAATTCTGCGGCATTTCAGATTTGAAAAGTTTTAGGGTTTAGGGTTTAGGAGATTTGGAAGGGTTTAGGGTTTAGGAGATTTAGAAGGGTTTAAGGTTTAGGAGATTTAGAAGGGTTTTAGGGTTTAGGAGATTTAGAAGGGTTTAGGGTTTAGGAGATTTAGAAGGGTTTAGGGTTTAGGGTTTCGGAGATTTGGAAGGGTTTACGGTTTAGGAGATATTGAAGGGTTTTAGGTTTAGGAGATTTAGACGGGTTTAGGGTTTTGGAGATTTAGAAGGGTTTAGGGTTTAGGAGATTTAGGAGGGTTGAGGGTTTAGGAGATCTAGAAGGGTATTTTAGAGTTTGGGGTTTGGGCGTTCTGTAGAGTTCGTGTAAAGTTGCGGCTGCTGTCATATCCAGACCGGTTTAGCAGCGCCTGCTGCTAAGTTATTCTACTGGCCGGCTGACCTGAGTACTTGCACAATGCTAGAAGAGCTGCTTTTGTTCTTTGCTCCGAGGACGATGTGACGACAATTGTTTGGTTTTGCTCCAGCTAATTCGGCATCCTGCTCCTAAGCAGATACGGAACAGATTGACTGAAGACCTAAACCAAAAACCAGGGCTACTTTTTGTAATAGGGTATGGGATAAGGGTTCTCTCTTTCCGAGCATGAGGCCAATAACAGGCTCCTCCTGGTAAGGAATTCTATACTGTACTCGCAGTTGGAAAAGGGCCCATTAAAAAACAACAAAAACAAAAACCAAACCCTAAACCGAACAGAAGCCACCCTGGCACAGCTTGGACAGGGGCTTGGC